AGACAAGGGCGTGCCAGTTGAGGCAGCTAGTGACACCTCAGACGAGGATGAAGACACAGATGAGGACGACATTGAGGAGCTATGGCAGCCAGAGTTTCGCCTCGTACGGAGAGATGACCCCGAGGCATACGGCTTCTCGACTCCACAGTACAGTGCGCACAAGCTTCCGAAAGACGTAGTAGATGCAAGTAGCGGTGGAGAGGGTCAACTGCGAGAATTTGCGATGCAGTGGGAACAAGCGCAGAAGTTGGCTGAGCAACAAAGAGCGGAAGATAGTGAGGATGATTAGCTCCACGGACCTACCGTAGCGTAAGGGAGGAGTCATAACTGCATACATCTTGGCGTAAACAAACAGACGTTTGCAAAATCGTGATTGGGCGTCTGTGGAATGTTGGCCAGCCTCGTCGCGTGAGGCTCTGGGGCCGCCACCGGGACTCGCGGTGACTCGCTCCTGCAGGGCATCTGTTTGTTTCACCGCTCCACACCCCACATCCATGATTCGTCGACATCATCCTTCACTCATCCTTACAACAACACGTCGTTGGACACGTTGTTTTTACTCTTGATCAACTTTTGCTACAATAAATTCCGCTAAAGACCCATACTTTTGGCACCATTGAATACCACAAATCTTCCACGATTACGATTACAAAATGAGCGTGACGGATAGCAGCAGCTACAGCGGCTTCTTATCGATACCCACTGAGATACGATGCCAAATCTACGACTACCTCCTCACCGAACCGCACGCAATCACGATTAGTGCTGGCTACACTACGTGTTTTGGCAACAGGATACAGGACCGCGCCCGGAAGACGGAAGTTCCAGGTCTACCACTCGACCTCGCGCCGCTGGCACGCCGCCACCACGATGCCTCTCTCCTCTCAGTCGCGAAGCCACCCACGATTGCCGTCGAGAATGGACACATGGAAGACATTGAGGGCGAGAAACTGGGCTTCCCCGCTGCGGTGGCGCTGATGCTGACGTCTCGATTGGTCAATGACGAGTTGAACGATTGTGTTCGTAGGCGGAGACATATCGCGCAGGCGCGTTCTACCGTCGATGCCGATGGAGTTGTTCACGACAACGAAGAAGACCAGGAAGGCCTGTCACTTTACGTGTCTTATCCTTACGGCGTCTTGGTATTGAAGCACCAATACCCCTACCTGTTGAAACAAGCGCGTCGAGTCTACATCTCTGGCTACTACACACCCCAGCAAGAGAACCAGCTCGATCCACGAGATCTCCAGACAAGCCATGATGAGCGCTTGACGCCATCCAGCAGCTTCGCAGCACAATCCTTCACCACCCCGTCATCAGGGCCAGCAACGAGCTTCACGCGTTCCTCTTCCCGACGAACAGCCCGCCACGGCGTCTCCGTCAACGCCTCGCGCCCGCGCCTCCGCCTCGACCCTCCCCTCCCCCGCGAATCCCGCCAAACAACCAGCATACCCACAACCTTCCCCTCCTTCTCCGCCTCCACCTCAGCCGAAGCCCCCGGCGCGCTCGCCCACCTCATCACGACCCTCTTTCCCAAACACACCACGCCCCTCACAAAGCTCACAACCCGTATCCTCTTCCCAGGCGAGGACTCGTACGGCTCCGTCTGGGGCGACGACAACAGCCCTGTCTCGCACATCCTGCGCAGTATCCGCGGCGGCAAGATCGATATGAAAGTCCTGAGAGGTAGTCTGGGAACGGGCCTGAGGCTGACGGCTAGGCCGAAGCCTGAAACGAGGATTGTGAGTACGAGTTGGGTTAATTGGAAGAAGGGGGATGTTGCGGCGAGGGGTGCCGCTGGAACAGTTAGGAGGGCGGGTGGGAGATTGGGTGTGAGTGATCTGGATGCGTTTTTGATGGGTGAGGAGGGGGCTTAGGATGTCTGTTATTGTTTACGGAGAGGACAAGGGTGTTTGTGAAGGACTGGCACGGCTACTGTGTGGCATGCATGTGCGGTTTCCTGGACTGCTGACTATATATTTCTCTTTGTACGATACATTCAGCGAGATATCTTTTATGTTTATCGGAACGAGCGGTCCACCAGACCATATGAATAGTCTGCTGGGTTTCAGCCTCTTCTCTTCAGTTCCTGGTATCCTCCTTCGCTATCGTGCTGTGATGGATCCATTTCCATTCCAATTGCGCACTCTTTGGTTTTGAGTGCATTGCACGACGTGCTCTTTAACCCTTTTGCCCTCTTCATGTGACGATAAGACAATGTCTTTGTCCGCAGTTGGAGTAGTCTGGCGAAGCGAGGGACAAGGTCTTCCTCCATTCAGAGCTGATCGGATGTAGAGCAGCGATGGACGCGAGAAGTCTCTTGGCTAATGTCTTGAGCGAATGTAAGGCCAGACTCGGGCTTTTGGGGTTGACGGGAGATCGCAGACTGTCGTGCGTTGCGACATGACGTGGAGGAAATCATCGCCGGTCGCCATCGGTCCACATCTCGAAGTGCCGACACAGCAGTGAAGAACAGGTTGGTACTCTCTCATACCTCAGGTGAACACCCTTCTACCAAGTAATCCACTTAACCGACCCGGGAATTCCAATCGCCAAATCCCTCGCATCTGAAAACTCAACCTTGACTGTCCGATCACTATCTTTCGGATGCGTCAAATAGAACGCGATAATGCGCAAATGCTCCGGCACCTCCAGCTCCGCACATATCTCATCTTCCTCGATACCCATCTCCGCTCGCGCACGTTCTTGCTCCAACCTCAACGCCTCTTCCGCAATCTGCCCAGCAAGCATGCCATCCCAAAATCCTTCTCGTCGGGGATGGCTCAACATGAGCTTTACAGCGCGCTTGCGTAGTGCTTGACACGAGGACGGTGCGCGGACGGCGATGGCCCAGAGTGCGGATGTGGGACCAACGGGCGTTTGGAAGATAGGCGTCTGCGCGCCTGAAAGAGGGAGGATTTTAGCAGCGAGTTCGAAGATGAGCACGAATTGTGCGGCCATGTCGAAGGGTTCGATGAAAGGTTTCCGCGCGGGTTTGAAGTCGCCTAGACAGGGGAATTTCTGGATGAGATCGGCTCGTGGGGCGCGGAGGAGGAATTCCATTTGGGCTTGTGTTAGTTCCAATGCCGTGAGGGGTTCGGTGTATTCTTCGCCGTAGGCAGGGGCTTGCTTCCAGAGATTGTCCATGGTGAGTTTGCCGCGGTGGTAGCGTGAGATGAGGTCGAGGTATTCGATGTATACTTCTTCGACTTCGTCGGCGGGGCGTAATTTGGTTCTTTGGTTGAAAGCGTGGATGCTATTTAGTAGGCTCTGTGTGTGTCCCAACATCGCATGTAGCGCAGACATACTCAGCGTGTTCGTTGAACTGCCCAGCGGTCTAGTCTTGGGCTTCGCGACCCAGGATGGTGAGATGTGCGTTGGCATTATCGCCCTAATCTGCGTATCGAATCCCACAAAGATGGTACGTATAGACTCCAGTTCTATTGGGTGATCAAACTTTTCTTTCCCTTGGTCCACTTCGTTTAACATCCGGATGCCGCTGCGTACGTGTTCGATTGCGTCTCTTTGGTAGCCTTGCAAACAACACATGCTGGTGAACAGGATAGCGCAGGTCATAAGCGTGATCTTATCTGATTTGACTACTTTGTCGTTACTCTTCGGCTTTTTCAACAAGTCCTGAATTGCTTGATTCGACTGTCGCAAAGCGAATTGTAGATAATTATCCAGTATGGCTGTCTCGGTCAGACGTGAGTCGCAGCCTTCGGAAAAGCGTCGATACATAGCGCCCAAAGCGATGATGCAGTGTTGAATCGCGGGCTCACGATGAGCGGCTTGAAGCAGTTCTCGTTGCCAGAACGGCGAATCGAGGAATCCGCGCAGATTTGAAACGGCATGCGTCATGAAAAACTCGAAGCTGTCCCGCTCCTCTTTGGTATCAAGACGAATGGCTGGAGCGATGAACACTGGCGAATGAGACCGCGTCAAGCTCCAACTTGATACCGACTGAGGTGAACTTTTCGATGACTCTGGAGGCGAGGGCGTTGATGGTGGCGGAGGTCTGAAAGTCGGATCGTAGCCATCGCACGTACGGCCCGTTGAGGTGCATCGTCTGCAGTTCGGTTTCTCCTCATCACACTTGACTTTGCGTATCCTGTACAGATTAGCAAGAGGCCATTGGATGCACAGCAGTACTAAAAGACGACATATTCAGCTTCAAGTTCATGTGTGGTGGGATTTGATGACGATGCGGCTTGGAGCTGAAGAATGGCTTATCGGTGGGCGGCGGGAGCTTTGCGGGCTATGAGCCCAGCCACGAACATAGTGCAAGCCATACCGCGCTATGGAGATTGGCACACTTTATAGTTGACGCAGCGACTTACTTGCAAGTTTTACAACCAGAGCGTGCTTTGGGTTTCCAGGCTCTCTGGCGTGGTTTACCGGATACCGTCGCCATGTTGGTTTGGTTGAGTTCAATCCGACCAATGAGAGGGGAGCCGGCGAAATTCAATTATACGAGCGAGCGTGTAGCAAGTACGGATTGAAGGATGTACGACCGCGCAAATGACATCGGTGGTTGAAGAGTAACTTCTGAGGCTGCATGACACTATGCAGCATTGCGGCGTGGTTGCCCGCACAGTTAGGCTACCGCGACCAGGCCCGCAAGCAGAGGCCACGGCTATTATTATCAAACTTGGCCAATGAGACGACGGCACGACAGGGTTTGCGATCCTCCTGGGCGTAATGCCACGAGAGAACTCGACGGAGTCGCATCCTTCTGGACCTTAGTGAACCGTTATTATTAGATTGGGGTATAGTCCACGGCGATTGATGCGGGGCTTTTAGACCGATTGGGTCCTGCAAAAAGGCATGCACCGCGAATTGTCGCGTGAAGCGCTTGGTATCATTTATCAGCAAGCGGCCATTATCAGCCTTACTTCGTAGCTACTTGCATTTGCGCGAATGAGAGTCGCATGATAGAATTACAGTTTTGTGGATAGTTGTATTGTCGTGTAGGCGACCAAATACACTGATCATGTTACTCAGAAATTTCGCCAGAGGTTCTGGACGAAGCCTTGTTTCACTCGCGGCTCGGTATGCGGTTCCGTCTGCACGTATTCGTCCTTCATATCCAGGTCCTTCCTCATTCCCGTGTCAAGATCAACCTCGTGGCTGCGCCTGAAACTTGTCTTGAATATGATTTTGTATCCCACAAACATGATCCCGAACACCGGCAACATAATGTAAGCGTCGACAAATGTGCCTGCATCAAATGGGCTCAGCGTCGTCCAGCCCTGAACAAGAGCGAGGAATATGTTGGCTGATACCCCAAAGTAGGCATTCCACGGGTAAGCGAGCGACTTGAAAGGTAACATGTCGGGCGTTCGACCTTGTGCTTTCCAAGCTTTCCGGAAGCGGATGTGCGTAAAGGAGATAGAACCCCAAACAAGGAAGGTAGAGACACCGCTCAGATTGACGATGTAGGAATACGCCTGGCCACCTCCAGTACTGACGTTCATCATGGATATCGCGCCGAACAGGTTCGTGAAGACAATGGCGTAGATTGGTACTCCACGGCTGTTCGTCCTCCCAAGGAACTTCGGCGCCATTTTCTCTTGTGCCATGAAGAGTATCGTTCGGGACCCAATGTAAATTGAGCTGTTCGCAGCGCTCAGGACTGTGATGAAGATGAACGCATTGATCAAATGCACGCCTCCTTGCCATCCAGCGTTTTGGATCGCTATGGTCATAGGGCTCTTAAGTGCGCGGCTGGCTCCGTTCGCTAGGCCGTCTGCATCCGAAGGGCATGTGAGCCCAAAGAAGAAGGCAACTCCGATGTATACGAAGAGAATTCGCCAAATGACTTGTCGAATTGCCAGAGGTACAGCTACCGATGGGTTTCTGGTCTCTGTAGCGGCCACAGCAACCGCCTCGACGCCGGCGTAAAACGTCGAAGCGAAAACGAAGACTGTGGCTACTCCGCGGAAGCCGTCTACCCAGGGACCGGGGTCGTTCCAGTACCGAAATCCGAGTGCCTCATCTTGCCCGATGAGACCGCCAGAAGCATAGATGATGGCAAAGATGAAATAGGCGCAAAGACCCGCAAGCTTGATCAGGGCAAGCCAGAACTCCGCTTCGCCGAAAGACTCGACGCCCAACATCTGGAAGCCTAGGAATGCAAACCAGAAGATTAGAAAGTAGCCCCATAGAGGCACCTCAGGACCCCAAAAGACCAGGATAGAGGAGATGACATTGTACTCGTTGGCTAGCACGCATGCCCACACCAGCCAGTACTGCCATCCCACCGCTACTCCGAATGCTTTGTCGACAAATCGGTCGGAAAGCGTGACGAAAGCACCACCAGTAGGGTACAGAGTTGTCATCTCTCCCAAGGATTGCGTAATGCTGAAAGCGATGAATCCGATAACGCTGAAAGCTATGAGCAGAGATGCCGGTCCTCCTTCTGCGAGGGCGCCACCAGTACCGACCAGAATACCAGGCCCAATGATTCCAGCGAGCGCCATCATGGACAGATGACGAGTTTTGAGGCCTCGCTTGACTCCACTGGGATCCATTCGTTGGAAGTCATCGTCGCTATAATTTGCCGTGGGCGACGGGTGCTCGGCGTGAGCTTTCGAATCAAGGAGGGCCATGTCGAACCGGAAGATGGTGGTCAGAGAGACAGACGCATAGAACTAGGCATACCACCGTTATAAGCGACTTCCTAGTTTTTACTTGGCGTGGGAACGGTAGATCTGTGACGAATAATAGCGTACTATGGCTTGGTGCATGTTGCGATTTTTACTGTGGATTGCGCGATGACAGGGTCTGATAGTTTCGTAGCATTCTGACGAAGAGCGACCATGAGTAGAATCGCTTCAACGCTGGAGGGCTACATATCGTCCCAACTTTGTACTGTTTGTTGCCGTGTTGATTGATGGCGTCAGAGTAGGATAACAACCGGGTGGCGGGGGCAGAATAGCAGTTGCGATAAGCTTGGTCCGCCTTAGGCTTAGCTTAGTGGGTTTTCGATCCTTCACCTTGGCGGCACTTCATCCGGTAAACCGCCACTCTTAAATCCATTAATCCCGACGTCAGCAACCACCGGACTTGTGCAAGAAGGACGCATGTTTCTTTTCTTATGAAGCATTCATTGCGATTCGTTATACTCTACAATACTCATTATCCATATGTACCCGATTTCCATCATCGATCGTTGGCGCTGAACCAGCCAGTCCATGTATTAACATTGGGGTAGAGTGTTATTACATCCGCCTTAGTTCTTGTTACCAATCTCCATGCGCTTCTTGAGCTTGTAAGCGATGGCGCGCTTCCTTGCGGCGGCGCCCTGTGTGAAAGCAACAGATCCGCCGAAGGGACCCGCGGCAGCACCGTTGCGGACGCGCATGACGCAGACGTTGTTGACGCCAGCAACAGTAGCGTCGCAAGTCATACCAGCCGGCATCTGTACCTTCATGGCAAACTCGGTGTTGGTGGCGAGCGAGATACCCTGAACACCGAGGCCAGGAACGTCCTGGGTGACGGTAGCAGGCTGCATAGCTGCCTCGTCAGTACCGCCTGAGGTACCATCGACGTCGGCAGTGAACGGTCCAGCACCGTCCTGGTTGATCTGGAAGAAACGAGTTAGAAATGTATGGATAAGAGTAGGAGTGATCGCTTACCTGGCGCAGAGTCATGGTGACGGTACCGTCGTCAGCGCATGTGGGCATACCGCTTGTGGCACCCGCTCCTACTGCGGCTGCAACACGTGACTCTGGTGGGCCATTGACCTTGTCACCACCTCCACCGAGCAGTCCAGCGATACCAGTAGCACCGGCCTTGCCGCCAGCACCGCCAGCACCACCAGCGCCTCCACCAAGAAGACCGCTGAGGAATTGACGCTTCCTCTGGCCAGCCTGTTGGATGTTGTCCTCGACACCAACACTTCCAGAAGCACCGTTGTTCGCAGGAGGCGCGGCACCCTGTCCCATGAAGGCACCAACCATAACGGCAGCATCAACGTTGCCGTTACCTTGTGTGCGACCAAGAGGACCAGTCTTGCCACTGGAGATTTCGCGGTCCCTGATGATGGCAGTGTCGGCTTGAGAACCGCAGCCGCTGAAGATTGGTTAGTAACTTGTTTCAAGAATAGAATGTTGAGAGACCTACTTGGAGGAGCAGTCGCGAGGGGTTCCGTCTTGGATAGTCAAGCCAGGCATGGTGACTCCGTTGGCACCCTTGATCTCAGAGACCACACCGTGAGCAGAAACGGAAGCCGCAAGGGCGAGGACGAGAGCTGGTGAGAAGTGCATATTGTATGTGTGTATTTGAAATCGAGATCAACTCGGTGGATTAAAAGATATGGGTGGTTTGAAAGTAAAGGTGAAAAGCGAGAAGCACCAGGCTAATGGAGAATGAAGTATTAGTAGAGGAGTTGAAGAGTTGAATGCTGATGATGATTGTAGAGCCGGCTTCAACAAGGCATCTTATACCTCTTTCCCATTGAGCGGCATTGTCGATCTACATCGCATCGTATTCTCCATTGGGATGACAGCCGCCCACCGCTCCACTCAGCTCGTCATTGGCATGTACAATTCAGTATGGATACAGGCAGGCTCTTGTGTCAAGATGCGTTTTCGAAGGTCTTCCGGCAAGGCTAAACGTGCTTGGCGGCAGTGAGGCGTTTCCCTCCCATACTTGGCTGTGGCGGAGTGCCGATTACCCAGGCGCTGAGAGGTGCCAACGTTCCGATACTCAGTTTCGTCTGCGCCTGGGGATGAAGGCTAAAGGCGCCAAGGCGGAAACTCTCAATGCAAGATCGTGGATTTGCGAAACGCTGTCTTTAGAGTTGCAGAATCCTACTAAATAAGCAAGCTCTTATATTAATAATACTTCTCTTTTTAAGAGAACCTAATTAGATAAGTATATATAAATTTTAGAAGTTATAAGTTACTTATTTATATTACTACTATAGTACTATAAAATAAAGATAAAAAACTAAAGTATTATATTATACTTAGATATAAATTAGAAAAAAAATATAAAATAGTTACTACTACTATATCTTTATTACTTATATAATATATATATAACTATAAATAAACTAATTATTACTACTACTTTTTTAAGCTCTAATATTTAGCTTAGCTTTTATAGCTATATAGTACTTATAGAAATTTTCTTTAAATTCTCTTACTTTAGATAGTTTACTATTATAAGTAAAAATATATTATAAGTAAAGAAGTTTTTTCTTACTTACGTTTTTTTTCTTCTTAAAGAGTAAATTATAAATATAAAAAAGTATTACTTTTATATTAGCTACTTTTAAAGTATATTATAGTATTAATATTAAAGATATAGTTAACGTCTAATTAGAAATAATTAATAATAAAGCTTTTCTTATAGCTAAACTAGTAGTACTAAATAGCTTTTTTTAATAATTTTAAATACTTAGGTATACTTTAGTATTTATAGAATAAGAGTTTTTAAACTTTACTACTAACTTTATATATAATCTATAAAGAAGATAAGTTAACTATATTTTTATAAGCTATAGTATAAAAATTATAAACTTTAAAAATTATAAAGTTATAAGATAGCTAGCTAAAGTAAATAGAATATATTATAGAATATATAATTATATAGGTAATAATAGCCGCAGGTAAGACACAAGGGCTAAACAAGCAAACGCATGTGTGTTTCACATAATACCACATTCACATTATTGACCTATCAGAATGTCCATCTCACGTAAATCTAATACATATGCTGAAGGTCACGATCAGTATTGACGAGTTACTCATGTATGAGCTTCTGTCGTAGCGCTGATCGCACCGTGGTGTTGTTCTTGCAGCCCGTACCAAAACGAGTAACTCCACCCCGCGCGCATGACAAGTCGCACCAAACACGGTTGATTCCGAACATGCAAAACCACACACTCAAATCATCGGTTTCCAATCACTCGCAACTATCCTGTTCAGCATCAGCGTAGGCGAATACTAGTTGCCGTGATCCACCCGCAGCTGCATGATGTTGCAGGCCCGTCGCCACTAGCGTTTCACCAAACGACACGGTCGATCTTCAAACATGAAATGCCTGGTCCCTCAAACTCGAGCCCTGGTAGGATATGCGACGGACCCTGTGATCAGAGGCTGGGGTGGGGATTCTGGGTGTGGCTGCGATGGTTGGTAAGTGGATCGGTCGAGGTGTTGTTGAAGTGGAGTGGCCGAAATGGGGCAGGCGTCGCGAAAGTTGGCTTGGAAGTTGCCCACTGTGATTTTAATGCAGACCCAGGTATGCACCATCACATCTTGTCTTATCGTATGTGGTGTCACTCGACACCCGTCTTTCATATTGCCCGGAAGATGAGTAGTAACTGCACTGCACCGACCATAATGGCTTCGCTAGTGACCATCCAGCTAGCAACGACAAAACCGCTTTGTAAGTCTTTTGCCACTATCGACCAGACGACTCCCATGATAGCACTCACGAGAATGCCGACCAGAAATGCCATGCATACGCGATTCGAATATCCTTCCTCCAGCTGTAAGCCCCAACCTATGCCAAGATCTGGAGCATCGCTATGATTCCATGGTACCGGGCGATCTATGCGTTTGGGAATGCGCTCGAGGCAGACTGCATCCTCTAAGCAGTCCTCATCTACCGAGCATGTGAAGCGGTGCATGAGGAAATCGTTGTCTAAGACGGGCTCGTAATCTGGGGGGTTGGGCTCGAAAGCATAATGCTGTTCAGTCACCGGTGGCACGCCGTACTTGAGATTGTCTACCTCATTGCGTCGCCATAGCTTGAACTGCGGACATTGTTAGCGAGGATATCATCATGGTGGCAGCTGCTTCTCGCCTTTACGAATTTGATCTTCTGTACAGTCTTCAGGCTGAACATACGATGGGCCCATGTGAACCTTTCGGCATAAGCCCTACGAAGCTCTGCGAAAAGCTCGCGATCGCGGGTGATCACGTTTAGTTGCAGGTCATGACGAAGCTTTAAGTATTTTCCCACTTTGAAGCAAACGTGTATGAAATCGCTAGATGAAGGTATTGTCACACTTGACGGATTCGTCGAACTCCCTGCTGCGACTTGCGACGGGCCGCTTGGAACGGTGTGTAGTCGCACTGAGGTACTTGATGAGATAGCACTTTGGCTTGCATTACCTTGAGTTTGTGAGAGATCTCTACTGGCTGATTGCTTTTGGTGATTGGTAACTGATGCCAGTGCTGGTTTTCCAGTCGTTCCGCTCGTAGTAGTAATGCGCGGGACACTATTGCCTTGGGCGGTCTTTACGCGGGATGCCTTTCTTGATGGTGTAGGGAGCATGACCATCTTACATTGTTTCCATAAGTTGTTCGTCATAACCAAAAGCCATAACATTGCTGTGTCGAATAAGTTGTTCCCAAGATCAAAGGGATCCCATGCTTGAAGAACAACGGTGTGTCCTGCATTTTGGAGCTTCAAGGCAAGGTCATTCATAGCGCCAGGTCTGTACTCCAAGTAGTGGCCAACTCCCTTGTATCCGCATGCCTGTATCTCTATCAGTAATTCTGCCGGTCGTGCTAGCGTACATGTGCTTTTTCCGCATGAGAATATACAGTGCAACGTCAAATGCACGTTTCGGTGTAGAACTGAGGTTGCACAGATGAGATTTCACTTACACATGTCCAACACATGCGGAAGCTTTGAAATGTCCGAGGCAAATACAAGTCATGTACCGGCCTTTTCTTTGTAGCGTATCTCACTATGTTAGTTCCAGGGTCTTGGATTCGATCGAAAACTCCTTTTGTGGGCTTATTGTCTGCGACATGCGTACCCACACGAGCTGCCCCCAGAGCTGCTGTGTTCAGTTCGAAGGGGATGGTGAGTTCGATAAGAGGTAACATCCCCTCGACTAGAAGGTCTGCAACCTGTCCCGACATGTAGCCGCGAACATAGCATGTTCCAATCAGTTTGTATCGGCGACCTTCTTTCCCGATATTCCGGAGTACGATGGGGACGCTGCAATGTGGGGAGAAACAGATTGCTTCTTGCTGGTCAGCTAATGCGAGTGAATTGATAGATAAAAGTGGAATTACAGTCACCTATCCTCATACTAGCTGGACCGAACCCTTGTACAGACCACCTTTTGCTTTTGAAAAGTCTTCGGCCTTTCGTCAAAGCATGTAGACGTTTGAAATCCGGATCAAAACGAGGAAAGTGGGATGTTTGACGAAAGTAGTCTTCGTCGTTTTCGGAATCATTGGCCATATCCTTGAGGAAGCAAACAAGCTTGAAGATTGTTTCGTGGTCTTCCTCTATGGTTTTGGGCAACAAGTTATGAACAAACTGAGAACCCCTGAGCCTACCAATCTTGGACAGCCATCTTCGAGGCAAAGGTACATCCAAAGTGTCGTGGGCATCGGTGACTGTCTCCACTTCGTCGAATAGGTAGGCTGAGGTGTGTATGCGATCATCTCCCAGCACATTGAGACTTTTGAGCTCGGAACTCAAGGTATAGCCTCTGAATAGGCTGTATGGTGACTCTCCTGGTGGAGCTCCTATCAAAGAGGCCGTGTACTCACTATCATTCGCTTGATGCAACAGCCATGGTGACGATTGGTGCTGTCTCCAAGGACGGAATATCACGTCCAGACTCTGGGAGTACTTCATACAAGACATGTAAAAGACCTTTTGGATTTCTTCCCATGTTCTTGAGTCTTCGGGGAACCGCTCGTTCGATTCCCAAGCATCAACATCGACCGCAATTGAAAGCAGACTGTGTATCTTGTTTCGCGGATCAGAAGACTCGGTAGTTGAAAACATGAATACCAGTTCCTCTAAATTGAGGGCAGGAGACCATGTGCCTCGATATGCGCCGTGCCCGCCAATCCAGTGAGAGCATTTGTCGATGTTGGAGACGAAAGAAATGGCCCTGCTGACTTTTGCGTTCGCATCTTCCGATTCGATCTTACGGTCAACCAATCTTCTGTAGAAGATCGTGATCGCTTCGCGCATTGTTGTCCAGTCAAGCGAATCCGTCCCGTGGAGAACGATGATGCGGCGTGCAACAACGATCTCCTGGACAACACAAACCCGTGTGAAATACGCGTGCATAAGAAACTCTTGTAAAGATTGCCACATCATAGCAAGATACTTGTCGGAGGGTTCATTGCTCATGTTCCAGGTCTTCGTACTGCTTAAGAACCGGAGCGCCCCCGGGTTGTTCTCCGACTCCTCACCTAACCAAATCAAGACCGTCTCCGCGTTTTGAAAGATCTGTCGGACCTTAGAGAATCGATGACTGCGCTCAACCAGATTGGGCGTGTTGATGCAAACTGCGTCAACCCAAATTCGTCGCTCTTGCTCATCATCTCGTATTCTTAACAAGGCGAGTTCGAGATTGAACGGTATCGGTAGGTCATTGCCATCTATGGAGATCAGACCACCATAGGCGTTCGTCCCCCACGTATATGAGATAGCCTCGTATCCCCTATCATCAAGACCGCTGCCCAGTGATCCGTATGGTGTTAACTGTAGTCGTTCCTTCCGGCCTAGAAGCGGGGCATTGTAATCATCTGATGGGTACAGAACGAGTATGAAGATTTCGTCGTCCAGCAAGGGATCTTCCGTGGTGAGATCAGCTGGTCCTTTGTTTTCCGCTGTTCCACCGAGTGTGCGCACGTTCTGTTCCTGCAAGAGATCTCTCGCGGTAGGATGGGGTAATTCCTGTTGGCCCAAGTTTTGTACACATGTGCGTAAAGACTCTTCGAGCGAGAAGTCCAACACGCTGGGTTCTGGTATTTCTTCTTCCTCCATTATACGTTCGTTGACTTTGCATGTGCATGTAGAGTGTTGTAAAGGTCAGACCAGCATTGCCAAAGCGGATCGAGGTGAGAACGCGGCTGAGATCAGCCAAGGCGCCCAGCTGGTGGGGTCCATATTATGCAAGGCCAACGGATACCGTGGCCGCATGCGTAAGCTGCATCGAGACCGGTGAATTCGTCTCCAACACGCGAGCAGTGATTTGCTGAAGTAAGCTGCGCGGGACCGCTCTAGGGCAGCAGAGGTCGCAGGACGTACAGTAGAAGGCGACCCATACAAGATCATACTACGATTTTCCCTATGTACACAGTACATCTAACGCCATGCGCAACCTCTCACTGACTGCGAGAATTCCGCAAAATGGTATATACCCAATACTCATTACCACATTAGTTTTCCCATGTCAACCTTTTTGTGCCCAGCCGAACTCAGAAAACATCCCTTTACTCCAATCCCGTACCCCTCCTCCCCAAACTCGGTCTCCCCCCACTAACACTCCCCCTGTGCATCCTCGCCCCTCCACCACCATGCATCATATCCAGATCAACAGGCGTCCCCGCGCCCAGCGCGAAACCATATGCCTCAGCTCCCTGCCCGGAGAAAACGCCGTCGTCGCCTAGACTGTGTTGTGGTGGTGGCTCCACGTTGAACGGCACGAAGTAACTGCTCATCGGATCAAAGAAGTTGTTGTTGTTCGCATTGTTGCCCAGACCCATGGCTTCGAGGTTCCAGAAAGAGTTGTTGAAGTCGGTTGCTAAATCGGGGAAGGGGGAGAGGTTCGTGGGGTCCATTTGGTGGGCGTGTGAAGGATGGATCATCGTGGGTGAGGTGTTGATGAGGGGAAGCGACGGGTGGTGAGAATGCTGTTGGTGCGCGTGGTGGGAGCCTGCGAAGTCGGCGAGGAACTGTTGGGGTGAGGCGTGTTGTTGCTGTTGTTGGGCGAAAAGAGCAGCGGGGTCGTAGCCGGCGGCGATGGCGGCGTCGATTGCGTCTTGCGAGGCCATGTTGATGTTCATTTGCTGCTGCGCTTGCAGTCGGGCGGCATGATTTTGCTGAGACTGGCTATTGTGTCGTTGTAAGCGTGGCAGATCTTGTTGGTTTGCCGAAGCGAGATCCGCAGGTTTTGAAATCGACTTTGACTTGTTCTTGCGCGCTTGTTTGCGTTGTTGATCGGTTTTCGACGGTGGAGATAGCGATGCGAAGAACTCTTCCACACTTTGCAGGTCGCTCTTGTGCCCCAGAACAGCATCAGTACCTGGTTCATTCGGATTTGACTCTGCCGCATCTTCGTAGTCCGTCTTCGAGACGCCGTGCGGGTATCGATCGAACCAGTCGCCATATTGAAATATGCTACCCTTCTTCTTTTCGCCGCTCGCATTCGGCCCCTTCAGCTGCGCGTCGGCGTGTTGACGGTACAGCTCTTTTAGGTTTTCCGCGATGTAATGGAACATGCCCCAGTACTTCTTCATCTTTGTCAGGTATTTGACGTTGTATGCCAGGTACTTTTTCGATTGCGCTTCGAGCTTCGGGTTCTTCGAGAAGACCCCATGGACGTGTACGGTCGAGGAGAAGAAGGCTGAGTAGCCGGCGAATGGTGCGACGACGTTGTGGTCCATGGCTTCGTTGATGAGCATGGAGATCTGGTTCGCGGCATCGAGGGCGGAGCGGGCGGACTCTGTGAGGAAGTCATGCGGCATGTCTTTCGGTGGTCTGCTGCCTGCAGTCGAAGGTAGCGCGAACCTGTGCATGAACAGCATGATCTGTTGCCATAAGATGTGAAGATACAAGAAAGAATTCGCAGTCTTGCCAATCGCGTGGCTCTTCAAGTTCTCCGGATTGTAGACAAGCATCTCCGGCAATGCAGCCTTGAACTCTTTCGCCTCTTTCTTGATCGCGTTGTAGGTCGAATCGGCCGACCACATGGGCTCTGCTTCGCGTTCCTTTCCCCCCAGATTCATGTACTTGATGAGTTTGCCCCATATGCAGACCAATCGTATTGTGTATGCCGAGACGCCCATGTTATCGCGCGGGTTCGCCAGTTGACCGCTGTCAGGTGGAACGGGGTTTGGCACGTTGCCTTCTAAGTTCTCGGTGGGCGCGTGTATCTCGTGTACGTATAGATGCTCCTTGACTGGTAATTGTACTTCGATGTACTGCTCGTGTACGAAGAGTGGTCGGTCGGTACCGGAGGAGTTAAAGCGGTCCATCAGGAAGCAAGACCACATGGTCCGCCGCCGTATTTCGCGATCAGTAGCGCTCAGGGGTTTCCTGTCTGGCTCGTTGACCAGCGGATCGTACTCGTTCTCCTTGTGCAGTTGCAGTGCGTATGCCATCCTCTGCGCCATACCGCCAAACATCCAACTCCGTCCGCCTTGACATGTGCCAAACTCATGAAGCCCTAGTAGCAGGTAGACTATCAAGATGGTGATGTTCGGTGCGTCGTATCGTTTCAGGGCAATCTCGCGCGCTCGTTCAGCCCAGCTGTCGCCCCGTAAGAAGCATGGCTCTGTCCGTAGTTGTGGGTGGTTCGAGAATCGTGCCGATATGGCGCACATTGCTAATATCAGTACCGGCGGAACCTTCCCAGCTGCTAGTCTTCGCATAAAGCTCGGCTTGTGCAGGAGCGGGTAACTTTGTCCGTAGACAAAGTCGAAGTACACCTCAGCCAAGTGTTCTTGGATCTCTTTCGACGGCAAGCTCTCGGCGCCTTCCGTAAGAAGCTTGTTCTCATCTGATTCCTTCCCATGCGATGTCGATCCAGCCGTTTCTGGATCTCCTCCTTTTGCTTTCGACCATTCGTCCAACTCGTTGCCAAAGGCTTCCTCTGCGGCGCGTTTCTTGGTGGTGGGTGTTTTGGGTGGGGCGCCGGGGATAGCGGGCTTAACGACGGATCTGCCCACATTCGCAACGGAAGGCAAGCTTTCCTTTGGTATCAGCTTGATGACACGATCCTCCATGCGCTTGAGCCTCTTGTCCAGCATCGCCATGTAGTCCGTTCTCGGTGCAGCCTTCCTAGTGGTGACCTTGTAGACACACGGTATCCGGCTCCGCAGGCAGTGTTTGCAGGCTGGCTTCTCGCCAGAGCAGCGAATCTTCTTCCTCCGACATGCGATGCAAGCGAGAGGCAGTCGTTTCCTCTCCTTACCAGCCTTTGTCTTCATCTCGCTCCAAAGTGGCGGATCTTGCGCATCGTCCTTGCTCCTTCGCGATGTAGTCGAATGGTTTGTGCCGTCATTGCCGCTGTTCATGGCATGCGCCGAAGCATCGTTCATCGAGTCGCCAATTGCGAGCATACCCATGGCAGGTGCGCTCTCAGGGCTGGTGTTGTTTCCGTCGCGGCCGGGGCTTCCTCCAATGCTCATCCGATTTGGATGCGCACTCCCGCCACCACTCATACCCTCTTCGCTCATGTTGCCGACGCTGCCTCTGTGGTCCGCATATCCAGCCTCAATCTTTGGTTGTATGCCATCGAAATTGGACGCGAATCCTTGGCTCTGCGCAAACGTCATGTCGAAGTCGGAAAACGAGCCCATAATGTTGGACGGACTAGTCCCAGTCGCATTCGGAGAGGCTCGAAGTTCAGGCAAGCCGAATTCAGCCAGCAGGAGCGAGTCGTCGTTGTCGAAGCGCGCGTGGGAGGGCGTGGCTATGGAGGTTGCGGTTGCGCCGGAGTCGGCCATGTTCTCGACGACTGCCTGCCGTCGTGGAGCTGTTGCGTAGCGCCGAGGCAGTCAGTCTTACATCAGGTTCCAAACTTCAAGATCAGAAGAAGAAATATTTCATATGCGCCTGCACCCAAGGCCCCAAAACAACATCGCAGGCAGAATCAGGCGTCGAGACGTCCAAACGTCGTGTGCTTGGATCGGAACGCCGGCCGAAGAAGGGGAAATGGTAAGCTCCGACTTCTCCACAGGATAGTTACGGCCCTTGCTTGGAGTCCAGTGGGGGCGCTAGTCTCTATATCAAAGCGCGAGTTGGGTATGTGGGGAGGTGGATTGAGCGTCAGCACGCGCGACGGGAGCAGAGAAGCAGCACGCAGCCAGGCCGACACAACTCGGGGCTGGATGAGACAAGAAACGAGGTATGACGACGGTGGGTGATGTATGAAAGCCTTCCAAGAGGTGCTTGCTGCGGCCTATCCCTCCGCCTATACTATGGCTGCATTCCCCATGCCGCCTCTACAAGGGACGGAAGCATGGCCATGTAATGGCGCCCTTGCGATTCGTACGCTTGCCTCCCGTCGACGTCCGATTAAACCGCGATCAAACTCGTCGGCCCACTCAAGTCACTGGCCGCACGTTGGCCGATGCAAGCCACAGAATCCTGCCCTTCCCCACATGGCAATCCTTGCACGTCGAGACCCGGTGCTGATTATTCAGACATCACAAAGCAGTTTCCAGTGCCACCAAGCCTCGAGCGGACTGTGATCGCCGCCCAGGCTGTACGTTGCCTATCCTCATACATCGCTGTAAGGCGCCTCATATGCACATATATGATGTATAACTCTACACCGGCTCTGCACATCACGAGCGCATCTCCGTGGAGCCCGGTGCGCTGTGGCTGGCGAGCCTGACGGCGGGACCCGTCGTGTGCCAGGTGCTCGCTATTCTGCGGGGCGCCCGCCCTGTTCAACGTTGCGACACGTTAGACGCACGCGAGGTATATGAGCTCTACATTGCGCTTCTATATAATCCATATGTCTTATTTTCCGATTCGACCACTTGCGTCCAATCTCCGGCTTCGCCCTTTCGCGCGAGACTGTGCGCCGGTCGCTTAAGCCTGGTGCCACGATGTTGCCTACAAACATGGGCGGCGGGTGCATCACGAGGGTAGTGCACAACCATCACCATCTAACTTGGCCAAGTGGACCATTTGCAAAGTAGGAAATGCGACTACCACCGGAAGAATGCGTTTCAATATTTGCGGCGCATACATACACGTTCGTTGTTAGGACCAGAGGTAGGCACCTGTGGGCTTTTCGTCTCGGGTGCGTCATCCATTCGGGCGTGTCGACACGACCAACCCCCTGCCCCCAGTTTAACGTTACGGACTGAACCATGACAGGCCTTCTAGCTGGCTTCTGCGAGCACGGTCCAGGAGTCGTCCGCTGATTTGAGATAACCCATCTTTCCTGGTTCGTAATTGCATTTGTCTTGAGAGGGGGCCGTTCTACACTGATCCCTGCACGTCACTCTCATAATATGAGTGGCTGATTTATCCATATTTCTTCATCTCGTGTTGTACACTTGACCATGCGCACATGGGCGAACCTCTCAGACGTAGTAATGGAATGCGATTCATACTGCGTTGGGTTCGCTGGCACTACACACTGCAACTTTGGGACTGGGTGTGTGCATTGTTGGGGCCATATGCAACTCGAGCCGAGGTTACCGATATTCGATATGGGAAGATGGAGCAAGCGCCTATACGGCCATACGCGACAGCCGATCGATCCAACAAGATCAATAGATCCTGCTGCGGAGTCCTGAATCCTCTGCATCCCACGCATAACGATATCTGTGATGCTATATGTCATCGGGTATTACTAGGGGCGGCCTTGTTACCCATGCGCCAACGCCAGAGGTTCACCCGTAGGAGTAGTTCTGTGTAGTGTACCCAGGCTGCTCCACTTCCCGATGGCGCGTACCCGATGAGCCACGCACGACTGCATCGACACAAACGACCGAGCCAATACCATGGCTAGTCTAGGAGTGAGGGTGTGATAGTCGAAGCGAAGGTGGAGTGTCCACTCTTTACGATCACGTTGATCCAATCTTTGTTGCTACATCCTGCCATTACCAACCAAGCCTATAGAGAATTTTGCTACTTGGCAAAAGTACTGTTGAGTTACTTCTGAGGATAGGATGAGTAGGTTATCATACCAAAATCTAAGGGTGATCGAAGTTCATGCTACTACCAGTCAAGCAGTCTAACGGACCAAAATATAGAGCCAATTCACCAAACATCATCAAAGAGCCACATACAAGGAGCGACACTTTTATTCCAATCCCTTCATTACGACCCCTCTAGCAGCTTTACATACAAACGAGCGACAGCGCGACCATCATCACAAAAGACACGGCAATCGTTAGTGTGCATCATCCCTCACTCCGTCACATGCAGCAAGCCATCGCCCTTGCCTAGGGCTCATTCAACGCAGCCACTCGCAGCCATGATGCATCCAGCTTTGGCGACTTCGGCCTCAGCTGCGCCGCTGTACTTGCCGTAGTTTGAGTAGGGGCTACAAGGCAATTAAGTTAGTGTTGATCCGGCACAGGAAGACGAGAATGATTGCAATGAACAAATGAGGAGAGAAGACTGGATGTCTAGGGGAGAGACGTCGGAAGAAGAAGGAAAGAGGAGGAGAAGCTTACATATAAGACTGGTACCAAGAATCCCCTGCAGCCTGAACCTCCTTGGGCTCGTCACGCTTCTCGCTGTTGGCCATCTGATCCATCATGTCCTTGGGCATATCCACAATATGGCGCTTCTCCATCTTGGCGTTCATCTTCGCGGCTTCGGCTTCTACAGAAGCAGGGTACGGATTGTAATTCTCGTAGTAGACGCCGTAGGTCTCGTACTTGTCGTACTTATCGTACACCTCCTGTTTGGACAAGGGTTCGTCGCGCTTCATGTTCGTGGCCGCTGATTCTACTGGACCGTTAGGAGTGCTTTTATTCGGGAAATTGGAGGGCGAGAGAACGTACCTTGCTGCATCTTCGCTGCCTCTGCTTCGGCCGGTGAGGAATAATCTCCGTACTGATAGTACGGGCGGTAGCCGGCGTATTCCTTGTAGTTGATATCTTGGGCTTGATTCGCGGAGTCGTCACCCCTCTTATCGAGTGGCATAGCTGCCGTAAGGGCGGCGAGACCCACGAGAACCAGTTCGAGATGCATAGCAGGGAATGATCGGCCGTGAGAGAACGGTGACTTTCAAGGATGTCGAGGAAGTAACCTTGAGAGAAGGCTGCTATAGTGAGTGCCCATTTCTGCCACGGGAGTCACCTCTTTGTACATGTTGGCTTGCGGTACTGATGGAGCACAATCACGATATAGGGCCAAATGTAGCGGGCATGGCGTAATGTTCCATCCGTATGCGCGTAATATTGTATCTGCTCGCATTGACTGCAAGCATCGGGGAATCATGTGCCAGATAGCTCGCGCAGGTGCAATGAAGTCGTCCCTGTAGGTTGTGCAGAGACAACATCGGTAACGTGATATTGGTCCGAAGTTCTGGGAAGGCGTAGTTCAGATGCGCCCCACAATGTACACCGCCTTCAAGTGAAGCAAGCAAGACGGACTCTTCTGGTAAGAACGCCTACTGGTTGATGAGTGAAGAGTGCAGGACAGATGTAGTTGTGCGTCGTTGCTATTGAGTCAGCGTTATGTGTCCGGACTAAGTCGTGATAGTTAGTGCGGCATACATGTTTGCCTGTTGTGACCCCAATTCGTTGTGAGCGCAGAGCGCATCTCCATAGCAGTAAGGCGGAGTAAGCCATTCGGTCAAGCTATGGTAGCGTTGGGATACCTTTACGCAGGTCCTTCAATAGTACGGTACGATCGTGACCAGTACGGTGATTGATGCCTCAATGAAAGCAGGTTGGATACTGTTAGTGGGAATTCCAAAGACATGATAGGGTGCGGTGCTGCTAGCGGAGTGATATATGTCGCTTTTCACATCGCACGACTAACGTGTTTGACATGTCTGACGCCCATCACAGTGTCACTGCTTGTCCTACACGGCTGGTCATGTCGTACTGATGTCCAATTCGTACCGAGAGTCGTACGTGGGGGATTGTAGGGATAGATGGTGTTGAGACCCAGTCGTCTGGTAAAGCGACTTGGAGGACTCGCATCCCTTGCTGCGATAGCAGGTCTGTCGCGATTTTCTTGCTACTCTCTCATCGTCGACCAGTTTCCGATCTCAGAACGCTTGCATCTGAACTGCAATCTATTCATGTTCGACATCCTCCGCAACCGTCCTCGGCATGAGCGGTTACTCCAACACGACTCCGAGTGCCATGACGACGACGACACTCTTTTGCCTGGCTCTTCTTCGTCGACCTTACTGACGCTTAAATCACCAGCGTTCCAAGGATCGAGCCGCGATGTGCGAGTCGCAGTGAGGACCCTCATAGCATGTACCATCGTATACGTTGGTGCTGCTTTATGGATAGCCTTCACTGTGAACAGGTCAGCGTTGATCTCCGATCCAGATGACTTTTGTATCCATCATGTTTCGCGATACTGTATGTAATGGACTCGCAAGGAACACATGTCCTTACTGATGGCAACAGCACCGGTCGTCCGAGATGTGAAACCAAATTGGCATACGCAGTTGTTCAACGGTAGCTTTCTCCATCAGAACATCTATCGCCAACCAGCAGGACCAGAAGTTGATGCTGCATGGGACGCGCTGGGTGTCAATTGTAAGTTGATTGTCTAGCAGTACCAGCAAAGCGCACACTCAGTTCTGATTCCCATACTAGATCGAAGTGTTGTGATACCCGAGGACGAAGCTGAGCGAACCGGATTGCGGCACGACCAGGTGAAAGTCAGCCAAGAGTATGGAGGTGGCTTCCCAGCGAACGTAGAAGGCCTCCATCACTTGCACTGTCTGGTATGCAGCAAGATCAGGTAGCGGACAGTACATCACTAACGTTTCGAAGGACCTTCTCCGTAAAACCCTATATTGGAACTATTCCTATTATTCGGCAAAGAAGGAAGGACCCTTCGTCAATAGCGAGTACATCGTGCGAGTACACACGACGCACTGCTTGGATATAATAAGACAGGTGCTTATGTGTAATCCAGACGTAGGTGTACTTGGTCAAGTGTGGTGGCAGGCCGACACTATGCCAGACCCGACGCCATTCGTGGACTTCAACACGAGGCACCGATGCCGAGACTATGAGCAGGTTCGAGAGTGGGCGGAGGGGCACCAGCTCCCACCAGAGACGGAGGTGAACATGAGTCGTTTCTACGAGATGCCGAAGCCGGGAGATTTCATCTTCCCTGAGATCCCATGAGGGTCGTGGACGCTGAGTATGTCAGTGGACGTAGCTGAGAAATGTTCGGTCCTTCGTAGCAGTATGAACTATTTCGCACGTGTCCTTTCCGTGACAGCCTGTGCAATATGCGCTGCGATAGTAGATGTGTGCGACAACTGGCGCAAGGTCTTGTTCAGTTCTGGCGGGGCTTCACGACGCCATCGTGCACAATGTAGTAGACGACTGTGCTGTCCGTGTCCACCGACGCTAATAGTACGCGCTTGGTTGTTCTCCACGGGTTGGTAGGGCGGTCCCCCTCTACTGTCGACGCGTCTGCTGCCGACGGGACCATGGTGATGGCATCGAAGACCTGGGCCAGCCGACGCAGCGTCCACTTCTCGTTCAGCCTGGTGGGCAGAATCCATTCGCGCTCCGGCTCTGCCTTGACCTCCAAGCCACCTGCCTCGCCCTCGGTGCGCGCCTTCCGTTCGCGGTCGGCCTTCTTCAGCAGCTCCACCTGCTCGTCGGGGTGTACGTAGAGGCGGCGCGGGGGCAGCCCAGAGACCAGCGGGCGGGGAAGGGGCTCGTGGGTAGTCGGTGAGTGCGTGTGTACGTGGAGGTCGGACCAATAGTGCTGGTACTGGAGGTTGTGCAGTATCTGGCGGGCGAGCGATAACTCATTCGGAAGGTGGCTTGATGCTGCGGCTGCCTCGGGAGCGATTGATACGAACGTCTGCAGCGCAGCGGGCGCAACGGCACGTTTCATCTCTGTCGTTACGGCGACTGTCGTCATACTGGAGGCTGGGCGCGGAGAAGTGCTGGAGGACTATTGGTGGTGCAAGGTTTCGCACGTCGACGAAGCTACTCGGTTGTGGAAGGAGCGAAGATCTCAAAAAACACCCCGCCAGTCACGCGAAGGCTGCCGAGCGACCATGGGAAGGGGCGACGCGGCCTAGGCAGCAGACAGCGCCCATTCTTATAGCTTGTCCAGGTGTGTTGTTTTCGCAGTTCAAGACTCCTTCGAAACTTCCAAGAAACATTCAACCATCTTCGCAAGGCCGTCGTCATGCTCGCAGCAATCTCCATCCCCACACTTCTGCTTCTGGCTAGCGTTGCCGTTGCCCAAGACGATACACCCTCAGTCGCGACCTCGCCATTCGTCAGTCCCACGCCCGAGTCTGAAGCCCTCTATACTATTCAGACTCAGACCGCTACTGATGATGTCGACCCATGGTCGTGCTACATGGAGTGCGTTCAGCCTCCATGCCCGGCATGTAAGTACACCCTCTTCGGCCTGTCGCGCAACGTGTTTAACAATAGTAGGCACCGGCAGCATGATGAGCGTTCCCCCGGTTTCTATGCCCAGTGTAACGGACGTGTCCGTCATCCCTCCGGTTTCCATGCCCACCGTGACGGACGTGTCAATTCCACCACAGTCTGGCATCTCCGTCGTCACAACGCCTGTTCCTATGCCCACTGTAACGGACGTATCAATCCCCCCTCAAGACTCCACTGGCGCCATGTCAATTCCTGAGGGCGAGACACCCATCTCTAGCGGCGCTGTTGACACGCCTTCTTCGAGCCTTGGCTCGGCCGCGAGTGCGACTAGCTCTGGTCTACCAGAGCAGACAGAAAACGCTGCCGCAGCGAGGGGTCGCGACATGCCCGTCGTTGTCGCTATTGCCGGCGCTCTGGCTTTGTTGTAAGTATCGAGTTGAGAGCGAGGGTGTCGGACTGTTTTTATCAGTTGTTTGTTTTGTGTTGTCAATGCGATGGCTGCGTTGGGGCGCGTCGGAGCGACTCCGGCTGCCCATACTGTATGCACTCGAACGATGGTACCATTGTAGAAAGGTGTATTCGCAGTAAAACTCTGCTGAATACGATACATAAACGAAGCACAAAAATCACCCAAAACTCTAATGTATCTCGCAAGTCTAACCGTGACGCGCGGACTGCGACGCCATTACGTGTGGCGAAGTACCTCTCGCGTATTCGTATACACAGCGATCTAACGGTGGCTTATACGCGCTGCACGTCAGTGGGTCTGGGGTTGGCAGGAGCCGCGTCCACAACAATCTAGGCCGTCTCCTTCCCTCCACGCCAGCGCCGACACCATATAACCTTGGGTGCCCAGCACTCGCAACCATGTCGATTTTCAGACGGCTCCTGCTGTTCTTCGAAGCCGGTTTCATACGAGCACCCCTATACCGGCCCAAGTGATAGCGAACGGAAAGCAGGGATCTCGCCAAGGCACTGTGACATTGCCAATCGTACCAGCGATCAACCACTTGGCTGACACGTCGAACCGCACACGCGCTTCAACGGGGCGAATCCCCTACAAAACAAGCGCCAGCGTGCACTTCACTCTCATCAGTCATGGCTTCCCCGAATAGCAACGTACCAACGCCAGTGCCGTTCCCTCAGCCTGAGGGCATTCGCAACCCCAATGCAGCGAGCCCTACCGCAGAGTCGCCTTCTACCAAGACGCGCGAACGAACCTCCACCAATGCCTCCATCGTCTCGAACAAGATCCGTACCGCGACTGGTAAATTGATGGACGTGAACCCGCCGCCCGGCATGTGGGCTGCCGCAGGGACCACTGCCGCCAAAGCACCCTCGATAACGGACATTAGGAAGGGCTCGTTTGGATCTGAAGGATGGAACGAAGACTCGCAACGGAAGAGAGCAGGCTCGCGAACGAGCCAGGGCGAGCAGCGGTCGCGCACTTCCACCAACGCGGCATCATCGATAGATCCATCTGAACGGCCGTCCTTCGGTGCCCAGCGCAAAGTCTCGTCAAGCAATGCATTGAACACCGAACCCTTTCCTGCTCTGGCTGAGGAGGATACACGACAAGTTGCGGGGTACGATGGCCACGACGAGCGCCCCAATACCGGCATACATTCAAAGCACGGTTCCGATTCTGCGACAGAGCACTTTGACGACGATAGGCCGCAGCAGCCAAAACGGACATCCTCAGGACGGGTACGTCTTCTCCTCCACCGTCCAGACAAACATGCTAATCATGGTGCAGTATGCCAACGGCTACGTACCACCTCCCAAGTTACCATGGAAGAAATCGTTCATGATCGGGCTTAAAGGCTTTTGGAAGTGGTTCCTCACACCCGCCGGCTTCCTCATCACGCTCTACGGCCTGAACGTCGTCGCCTGGGGCGGTATGCTCTTCCTCCTACTCTGTAACGCCGCACCCGCCATGTGTACACCTACCTGTGACGACATCAATTCCCCGCGCCGGAAGTGGGTCGAGTACGATTCGCAAATCCTCAACGCACTTTTCTGCGTCACAGGATTTGGTCTCGCGCCTTGGAGGTTCCGCGATCTATACTACTGGGCTTGTTGGAGAATCGGAGGATCAGCCCGCACGGAGACGGGCATCAGACGTCTTGCTGGCATACATCGGGGATGGTTTCGGCTTCCAGGTTCAGATCGGCTGCCTGACAAAGCAGGCGCAACCGTCGTCGATCCCGAAGATCCAGCTGTACCAATTCCCGTCCAGATGATCCCCGACCCACCGCCCACGGCGATTCGCGCCCCACCCACTAAGAGCTGGAAGATGGATTTCGTCATATGGATGAATGTATGGAATACTTTCTTCCAGGTGGTTCTATGCTTCTACATGTGGCACTATAATCGCATCGACCGGCCTTCCTGGGCTACTGGTCTGTTTGTGGCTCTGGGATGCGGAGTGGCGGGTGCTGCAGGCATCATGATGTGGCACGAGGGCAAAAACGTTAAGAAAGTCGAAGGTGTGCCCATGCGTAGGGATTATGGAGACCAGCGAGACGACGAAGAAGCGCAGAACATTCCGCTCGTGACCACAGGAGTGGCGACGAAATCCTGAGGAACCTGCCCAGCGCCTTGTGTTGCGCAGCCAGGGAGGCTGAGAACGCTCATTGGAGCGGGACCCTCCCTTTCCTTCTTGGCGTTTGGTCTAGTTGTGGCGTTGCATTGAACACAACATAGACACATTTTCATGATCGATACCCAACAGCCCGCGGGCATTATGTTTCTACATTTTAATAGCGTACCCATGACCGTTTCTGAGTCAACATTTATTCGTTCTTCTTCCATCACGTCAGCTTTCCGTCGCGCGAAGAAAGTGCCGGAAGTTCCCTCCGGACTTCGCCATAGATCAACCTTATGTGAGCCTCGTGCTGACAAGCTTGCCGAGCTCCCCGGACAGGCCGAGCTGCATGCTAAGCGTTCCCGAAGCAGATCCGTTGATCGAATGACGTATCAACGTCGTACTTTCTACGGACTGGTGACAGTTGCACGCGCTCTTGGTATTTATTTAGCCAAGGCCTTGTGATCGTATTGTCTTTCGCATTTTGCATCTTCATCCATACCATACCTACATATATCTCCAGTCGTACCTTTCTTCTTCCAAACAAATAACGCCACCAGCAAATACTCCAAGAGATTACAAGAGATGGCAGCGCAAGAATATTATCTAGGTACAGCGGCTGCGCATGAACTGCCAGGCAGCCATCCGCCAAATCCATATCCACCGCAGCCACCAAAGCCGCCACAATACCAACAACCACCTGCGCAACCTCCACGACCACACGTTAGCAATCCTCCATATGCGAACACGCCGCCTCCATCATACTCAGCATATCCTCAGCCACCGCCGCAACAACCTTATGGCTACCCACCTCAACAGCAACAGCAACAGCAGTACTACCCAGAGAAGAAGAACGCCCAAGCCATGACAGCGCCATACCCGCAAACACCACCAGCAGGCGGCTACTACCCACCCCAACAGCCGATGCCCCAAAACCACGGCTACCTCGGCGCCCCTCTACAACCCTACAGAAGCCACTCGCAACCCGCGCGCGTGCGCTTCGCAGATCAAGACTCCGATCGCAGCACAAGTCTAGGCTCCGTGTCCGACTCGGACGACTACTCCCCACCCCGGCACAGCAACAGCAGCAGACACCACCGCCATCACAGCCACTCCACCCGCGACCGTTCCACCTCTCGCGACCGCTCGCGGAACGAACGCAGACACAAGCCACGCAAATCACACTCGTTTGACAAGGCACATGAGGACAAGCACAAGAACAGAGACACGTTTCTCGGCGCAGGCGCAGGCACGATCATCGGGGATGTGATCTTCCCTGGTTTGGGCACAGCGGCTGGCTTAGTGCTGGGTGGCTACGGCGGGAGGAAGTATGCTGATCAGAGGAGTAAGAGCGATTATGCGGGGAGTGAGAGGAGGAGTCATCGGGGGAGCAGGAGAGCGGGGGATGATGGGTGGGATGAGAAGACGAAGACCTATCGGAAGGGTGCGGCTGTTAGGTGATTACATTTACGATCATGATTTTACTTTGGTCATGCTCTCGATGATGTTACGATTTCTGTTCTTTCTAACTACGGTTTATGACGGGGATGACGTGGGATGATGACGGAATGACCTGCTTTATACGCTGCTGGACAGCACGACTCTAGTTATTAGTATCAATGTATTCTCAACTTCTTATAACACACCTTCTATTGCATGGTCGGCTTATGTCATATGAATAAACATTATTGTAATTTGGCATGTTCGTCTTCGATCGCCTGAGAGCGATAGCGCTACATGTCCATCTACCTGTCCCTAAATTTTCGGTGCACGTCTTCAACCGTCTTCACGATAGCGTTGCAGCCGTTTTCCTACTTCCGTCGCGCTCTCCATGATGTATGTCTTTGACCGGCCGTGCGGTAGCATTCCATCTTCCTCCCCAATAATGATACATGGATGTATGTCTTCAACCGAACTTGCGGTAGCATTCCATCCTAAGCCTCCAGATATAAATACAAACAAAAAACATAATGGGTGCACGTCTTCGACCGCGCGAAGCGGTAGCGTCACACCCTGATTCTGACATCCAATCAGAAGTCTTGGAAGAGACCTTCTAATAGATGCCAGGTACGATCCTGTACGGGACAAGCTCGACGTAGCGGTCCCAGTCTTTGCCGTACTTCCTGCGACACTTCTCTTCATCGCGACGCTCACGGTGGATAAGTAGGATGGCAAAGTAGACCATGAAGAAGTAGGTGAAGATCATACCCCAGCCCTTGGCCTCACCAGGGACGGCGTACTTTCCGTAGCTGTTCTGGTAGAAGTAGGCATCGGTTTGAGCTGCTGTGATGGGAGACTGAGCCGCGTTCTTGATGAGGTAACCAGACATTGCAGTAGGTAAAACGTAACTCCAGCTCATGAACCAGTCGCCAAGGTAGTTGATGTGACGCGCCATGCCCCACCAGCCACTGATCAGAAGCTTGGAACCTGCGGCGGTCTCGATGCACTTGAGGTGCTTGACACGCGGGTCGTTGGGGTCGGTCCTGAATCGGTTCTTCTCGTTGTTCACGGAGCGGAAGATGTAGTATCCGATACCCTGGACGGCCAACACGCCAGCGATACCAACGGGACCGAGATCAACGGGGTAGTTGGAGAGGTAGCGGGTTTGGATGGAGTATGTGAAGGGCACCCAGACGAGGTCGCCGAAGGAAAGCATCATACCAAATCCGTCGGCGATAATGTCGATGGTGGTAAGGATAGCGGGCTCCATGAACAGCGCGTCGAATGTGTACACGGTGTGGGCGATGGTGACGAGGAGGATGCTGTCAGTGACGCGGCCGAAGTTGCGGTATTGCTGCATGATGAAGGCCAAGTCGAGGATGATCCATCCTAGCATTCCGGGGCGAAGCTCACACCATGCCTTGATATCAACTTCTCCGAAGATAGGCATGTTGACACGGGGGTTCAGCTCACGTCCGATAAACCAGTCGTAAAGCATGTTACCGGTACGGCCACCGGCAGCAAGCTCACGCATAGACGGGTCCTTGGGGTGCTTGACACTGAAAGAAGCGACGTAGCAGTAAGTGGCCAAGAAGTAGGAAATGAGAATGTTGCTCGTCAGGATGCCGACGTAGTTGTCGGTGATGAAGGTCCAGACGGGGAACTCGGCACCCTGGGAGATGGTACCAGCAGCGAGAAGAGTCATGATGAAGAGGGCTGAGTTCCAGGCATTGAACCTGTACTTGAGCCTTCCGCCGCTCCTGAGCTCGGTACCCTCAACTTCCTGGCCAGGAAGGAATCGGTAGAGGAACAGACTCAAGAAATAGTAGGCCAGGGTACCAAGGAAAGCCTGGGTATTGAGTAGACCCGAGAAGCCAGTCCACCCTACCTCCTTCTTCAGCTGCTCGAGAGTGAAGCTGTAAGGGTGGAGAAGGACAGGCGCCGGGCATCCAGAGATGTCATTGCACAGAAACGTGAAGACGTACACCAAAACTGGAAGACCGAAAGAGATGATGAAAGCTCCGGGGCTGGAACGAGGTTAGCGTTATGATCGTCAGGGCGCGCAAAAGTCGTGGATGGACTTACGGTCCTAGAAACTCATAGCCATGAGGCTCTTCAGCCAGCGACTTAGTCGCCTTGTCAGTCTTCGCTTTCGACATGTTTTCAATGTCGAATTGTCGCGTTCTCCAGCTCTTTCCGTTCCGGCTAGATCCGCCGAATGAGGGAGCTCGAGGAATAGGGGTCCGGTCGCGTCTTCACAACAAGGTTCCTTGTCGCAGTTGTTGTCTTCGCCGAGGGTGATTGTCGCGCCGCCTGAACCAAAGACAGCCACGGGTGCAGTGTCCTATATAGCAATGAATGAGGCTGGGCGCATCAGACGATGAAAGGGATCTCGGATTCCATTGCAGCCGTAATGACGCGCACACGCCATCTTGGCCGCGCTAACTGCTTTGGGCGCTACCGCCCGTCGTTACTGCCGCTGCAAGGCACTCGACATGGAAGGCGCGGCGCCGGAAGTCAACGTGTTGCGAAGATGGACAATCGTATCAGCTCCACCTTCACCGTCACCACGCCTCGACCCTCATAGTGCGTAGTGCGCCGATCAACTACGCGATGATATCCCTACTCTACTCGCTCCTGCTTCTGGCAGCGTCGGGCCCATTCGCAGCGGCCGCTTCGGACAAACAGCTCAAGCCATGTACCGTCATCTCACCCACGTCCGAGCGCTTCTTCGACCTGAACCCTATGCGCCGCCAGCCACCATCGGAGTCGGATGGCAAGAAAAGTAGCAAGAAGGAGGGCGAAGAAGGCAGCTGGCATGCCAAGGGCTACGATTACAATGCCAACTTCACAATCAACTTCTGTGGACCTGTAGTGGAGGAGCTGGACAAGGTGCAAGATCTAGACAAGGGCCTTTGGAAGAACGTCAGCGCATTCTACGAGAGAGGAGACAAGCAGTGGGCTATTGGGTGAGTCTCACACTCTATGAAGTGGGGATACATGGAGGGGCTCAAGATGCTCGTTTACATCCAGGCAGAACAATCCATTGAGGCGCAATGCTAACACCTTGCGATTTCTAGTCTCGAGAACTCAGAACCCATCTTCCGCGGTCGCAAGCTCATTCTAAACTACACCGGAGGTTCGCTCTGCCCAGATCTGTCCTCGAAATCAAAGCGCGCGCTCGAACCCACCTCTCTCGACACCCGCGAGATCATTGATGGCGACGATGACGATGACAAGGATGACGGAGACAAAAAGAAAGGCTCAAAGAAGACCGAGCGCCGCAAGACTACCATCATCTCTCTGCTTTGCGACAACGACCCGCTCGCGAAAACAAGTGTGTCCTTCGTCGCGGCAGTAGACGACTGCTCGTACTTTTTCGAAGGCCGCTCGCCCTTCGCATGCGGCGGCGTACACCAGGATACTCAAGCTCTAGGCCCCGGCGGCGTCTTTGGTGTCATCGTCATGATCGCCGTAGCCGTATACTTTGCTGGTGGTTGCGTCTACCAACGCACCGTCATGCACCAGCGCGGATGGAGACAGTTGCCCAACTACGCCATGTGGGCAGGCATCTGGCGCTTCTTCTCTGTAAGTCTACTCCGCTGTTGTCGTAGAAGGAGTAGTAGTAGTGCCCGGTGGTGATAACAGACGCTCGAATGTCTTGTTGGTGTTGCTGACATCGTGAAGGACATGTTCATCATTCTTACTTCGTCGTGTGCGCGCTTCATGCCTTCCCGCCGGGGCTACAGTCGTGTCTCGCTCGGCCAGGATAGCGGACGGAGGGGACGAAGGAATGAAGATGAGGATAGGTTAATAGACAACCTGGATGAGGAGTGGGACGATTAGATGTGGCAATACATTAGTATCGGGCATGGCATAACGACGCGGCGTTCACGGAGTTTGGTTAAGGACAATAGACGCTCAGGAGCGCATGAACAAAAGACTTGTTGACTCAGACACCTTCTTCTGGGGGAAAGTGAACACCCTAGAGCCTACGTTAATATTAGATTATCTACTTTGCGTGTTTTCATCTTGATGTAGGCTCCAGGGTGTCCGGCTTTTCTTTGTATGAGATGCTGATACATTACCGATGGGTTCAATTTCACGAGTGCACATTCATGGAGATGTTTTGAAGACTGCATTGGTAACGCACTGACACCAAGTATCCATGTCTCCACCCGGCCCAGAACTAAGTGGCTAAAGACACCATGTACACCGGAGAAATACCGACTGAAATTGCAAGAAAGATCGCTCGTTCCTCTCGTATTATCACCGAAAAAGACCAGTTCCTCTCGCATGGGCTCGCGAGTCAACCTAATCAGGCCCTTCTTGTCAACTGATTCGGGGAAGAAACCATCCCATTCTGAACGCCCGCTTGGCAATTCGACTAACGCCTGGGGTATAAAGCAGCGGACAATGAAGCAATACAGATATCGACGGCTAAGATGATGCTGTGTCGTGAGCACACCTACATCTCCTCATCTACCTCATCGTCGACTCGGGTATGTCGGTCGACATGGTCGCCACCGTTCTTGGACATAGATGGTTCAGTCTCCATCGGAGCTGCCTCATCAACGTCCTCCTCGACGGAGTCCTGTGCGGAGTCAACGATGCTGCGGTCGTCCTCCACGTCAACGTCCATCTGCTCTTCTCCCTCGGCTGTGCTGTTTTCTGCATCTTTCTCTGCTAAGATGTCGCCGCGAGCGATGGGCTCAAATTGCGCATTGATGCCTGCCAAGATCTCTCTGATTTCCGACCTCAGCTCCCTCTCTTCTTTTGATTGCAGATTAAGGGGCTGGCAGCCAGCCGTGCCGCCAAGCACTCGGGTATAGTCCCTGTCCATCTGCACGAAAATCTCATCAACCTTGGTTTCCATCGACTCTTGTAGTGCTTTACACATGTCATCAAGGTGCTTGTTGACTGTGGCGATGGCTTCATGGAACATCCTGTGTCGCTCCCGCTCCACATGATCTTCCATGTGTTGTTTCATGCGCTTGTAAGATCCAGCGCCACGCTCTTCTGTGCACACATCGTATACGTCATGCATGATGCCTGCGATGCAAGGGCTGAAGTCACGGTTCGCTTCCCGCTGGAGTTCGTTCATTTGAGTGATGAGCGTAACCCCAAGATCCTTGAATAGCTGCTCGTAGTTGCAGACCTGTGTCTTCAAGATTGAGAGATTCGCCAGGCCAACGCCGCTGGTCCTCGCACGCTCTTCTATGGCTTCGTGAAACTTGTGAAGAAGCGTGCCTGAATTGCCGATATACGCATCAAATGCTTTTGGAAGGCGCGTCTGGAAGGCTCGCTCCCAACCCGTTGCTAGTTGCTTGATGATGGGATCCACAAGATCGGAGTTGAAGTCACGGTGGCCGGCCGCAGAAGAATGATAAACGCCGTCGCGTCGAACGACAGCTTTGTAGGATCCCCACGCGAGGCCACCTTGATCCTTGTAACCCCAAGCATGTGCTGTAGCTGGTGCAGATTCAATGGCCTTGTTGATGAGCTCTGGGCATTTGTCGAAGATTTGAGTCTTCATCTCAGATCGCATCTCTTTGATGCAAGCACCAATGGCTGCCTCTAATCCTTCCGTTAACTGAGTAAGCCGCCGCCCTAGGTAGCTGGCCTGCTTGCGCTTGTCCTCGTCCGTCATCTTCGAACCCGCCCCGTGGTTTGACATCCAGAGGTTGAAAGTAGTTAATATTTGGCAGACGCTGGTCAAGAACGCGCGGCTAGTTTGAATGCGTCCGCCTTCAGTAAGCTTCTTACAATGGTTCTGAAGTTGGGGCACTTCCGTCTCTTCGGGTGTTAGGAATCCGGGCACTTCATCGTCTTTTTGCATTCGGCCGCACATCTTCTGGTACGCGCGACTGCTGACGCAAAAGACCGGCAAAGACCTAGCAACCTGGTTGTAGTCGCGCATCTCCTCGTCGGGGTTGAAGTTGTCTTCGTCTTCTTCGGCCGCGTTTTCCTGGTCGATTTCCTTGATGCCGGCAGCGAAATCCTGCTGAATAGCCGATTTGGAGTACTGGTTTCGGCCTGCAATACAGATGCGGCTGATCTCAGCTTTGATTTCATCCTTCTTTGCTTCCAGTTCTCGTATTTGAGGTTTCAAGTCGTCCATAGAGTGCTTGATTGCTATCCCTTCTCGCCTAGCGTTCTTCTTCGTTTCCTTTAGCTCCTTCAGTTTCTCTTTGATGTCAGTTTCGGATAGCCGCTTCCTTTCTCCCTGGAATGTGACTTCATCGTCGCTCCTAGACTCATCGGAATCGGAATCCTCAAAATCATCATCCGTATCGTCATCGAAAAGCTGTTTCCTTTTGCGTGCCTGCTTATTCGAGACGGCCTTCTTGCGTTTGTGAGTCTTGATTTGGGGTGCGAACACAGATTTCCCGTCGTCCAGTTGCTCCTGGAGTGATTCCCACACCTCAATGTCCTCACTTGCGCTCGACATCGCAAGCTTATAGACCTCTCGCGATTCGTTCAACTCTTGAATCTTGCTCCGAATCTGCTTTATCTGCTCATCGTGGCGTTCCTGTTCTTCTTCAAACGTTGCAACATTCTCTTCGAGCCCGAGACTGTCGATTGCTTCAGTGATAGAGATGTCATCTGTCTTCGAACAGATGAATGTAACACTGGAGAAGCCGCCGTCGTATTTGAGCTGCCTTTTGAAAGAGTCTCCGAGCAAGGTTTTAGCGGCTTTGTCGTCCACAGCTCGATTGATAGGAGCAACGATCCAAAGGCCAGTGCATTGCTTCATATAACCCTGAGCAACAGCAGCTCTCGCAGCGTTACTGTCATGAACACCCGGCAGATCCACAATGACTGCACCAGTCGAGAGCGCATGACTCTTCGTATAGATTTTGACGACCTTGATCAAGGGCCAGTACTCAGTTTGGAAAGCTGGCTTGGAGACCTTCTCCTTGTTCTTGTCCTTCTTGGCAACTTTCTCTTTACTATCCACGTAGCGTTGGAGCTCTCGATAGAAAGACTGCGGTCTAGCCGTGCGTATCTTTTTGGTAGTTCCAAGTACGTCGACAACGGATCGCTTGGACATGAGCGAAGGAATGGTGCAGTCACCTAAAGCATCTTTGGCGACCGACGGGTAGACGGAATGGAACTTTGCCCATGCAACACCGGCATCAGAATTGGGATCCTGCGC